AAGGCAGGGTCAGGCTGTTAAATTTTCCAAACGTTCTTCTCCCCCCCACTTCAGCCCCCTCCACCCCGCCCCGCAAACCACAGGAGGGGAAAAAATCCCTTTCCGATATATTGCATACAACTGTCCCGCACCCACCCACCCACCCTCTATCTGCAGCTGAGCCTAACTGCAGGACCCTAACTACGGGAAAGGCAGAAACGGATCCAAAGTGAATCCCGACGCGGGCTACTATTCTGCCCCCTCCTTTTTTTTCTTTGCAAACCAAGCCTAGCCTGGAACAATAGAGTGGCTGTGCGCCATCGGCCTTTTTCCCGTCCCACCAACAGAAGCCTGAGCCAGGGCGGGTACAAGAGGGATAGCGTGGAATTCCGCTGGGCTCCAACCAGCCGTGCAGACGCTCTGCCGTGTCCCCGTTCCGAACCCTCCCGTGGGTGGCTGGAGGCCGGGCGGGGGTCACGTGTTTGTCTAGTCTAGGGGCTCCGTCTGGTAGCGTTAATACCATGTGTCCGGAGGCCCCAGGGGGTCTCTAACTTTGGCCACTTTAAGCCTGGAGGACTTCAACTCCCAGAATTCCCCAGCCAGTTTTGCTGGCTGGGGAATTCTGGACGTTGAAGTCCTCCAGGCTTAAAGTGGCCAAGGTTGGAGACCCCTGTCCTAGGCCACCCCTCGCAAGTTCAGTTGAACTAAAAAGCAGCCAAAATCAGGACTGATCGGGGTGGAATTCGCTTCCCTGTTCTTTTTTTTCCCCGCCCGCCTTTTCAAAGCAACGTCGGAACAAAATGAGGCTCCCGTTGCTTTTTGGAGCTTGAAAACAAAGCGACCTAAACCAGCTCCAGGCGTTTTAGCGGGTCTGGGAGGGATGGCGGCCAGCTCTGGGGCTCAACCTCACCGCTCTTGCTAGGGAGGGGTGGCGGAAGACAGAAATCCCATCCAGACTGAATTTCGGTTTTTGTAAAGGGCGTCTTTCTTTCTTTCTCCCCCCCCCCCCCCCCCCGGGCAATCGGTCTCTTCCAAAATGGAGGACAAGAGCCAGCGTGTTTGGGGAAACTACTGCGGGAGGAAGGAATGCGCAATTTGGATAAAGGGGAGGCTTTTTTTTTTTTGATCCGGCGCCAGCTTCCTCCAAAAGGTCGCAATGGGCATGCAAATGAGCGGCAAGGCTGCTGCATCGCCCATTTGGCAACGCCTCAAAATCGGAGACATGCGCATTTTAGTTTGGCTCGCACAACCAAGAGCTCTGGAAAACACCGAGTTGTGCAAGAGTACAACCATCAATCACAGTTCTACCCCCTTCTATGAAATACAATTTTAGCCTTTCTGAAAATGTGCCCTCAGGGACTCTAGTAGCTGTTTCCGCCAACTTTTTTTTTCTGTGTGTGCATCTGCGCTTTTGGGCCGATTTCTCCCTTTTGGTTGAGTGCCTGAATGAGAAGGTGCGAAGACCCCCTCCCGGGGGGGGGGGCTCCTGAGAGCCAAAGAGGGGAGTGCAGATATAGGGGGTGAATCTGCACCCTAACGTCCTTGCGCACGGAGAGGAGGGCAGCCCGTGCAATCGGTAAGATTAGCTTTGACCCATCTGGTTACAAACACGTAATCTCTTCCCCCTTTTTTATTGGGTGTGGGGAGGGGAAGACTTTGGCTTGGAATGCTTTTTGGACTTGGTTACAAACAGATACGAGCCGACCTCGTGCGTTGTGAAGGATGTTCAATCTAGAAGTCGAACTATGGAACCCTCCTATGATGGAGAGTTAGCCAAAGCCTTCCTGAAAAGCAGAACTGCAACAAAAGCAAATAAGCTGTGAACCCCACTCCCCTTCCGCTAGGCATGTAGCAATTCTTGGCGAGGGAGGAAGGGAAGATAGGAGGGAGCTTCTTCGAACTTAAATACAACTTAGTATTTAGAGGATTCCTGTCTTTCTCCCACATGACTTTTTTTCTCCCATAACTTTATATTTTTTTTATCCTGCCTTTATTGATTTAATAAATAACTCAAGCGGGTGAACATACCTAATCATTATCCCAACAAGAAGCCTGTGAAGTGAGTTGGCCTGACCCAACTAGCCCAAAGTCACCCAGCAGGCTTTCATGCCTAAAATTGGACTAGAACTCTAATCTCCTGGTTTTTAGCCTGGTACACTAGACCAAATTGCTTCCAACATTGCAATGCACCAAGGCATCCATGAACCTATAGCCAGCCTTGATGATTTAGATAACAAGATAATGAAAGGCAATTACTGCTTATTTGATAGGAGAGATGTAGCTTCAAGTTTCAGGCTGCAATGGGAGAATTGTGGCTCGGAGCCAAAGAGGAAGCTGTGTTGCTGTTGAAACTTTGACAGAGTCAGCATAATAATGACAAAGCCAGTCTTCTAATTCAAAGCAACAGGATGTGTCACTTTGGCATAGAGAAAAAGTTCACCAAGGCCTAATATAAACATCTCTCTTGTGAGCCAGGGGAGGGGACAGGGCAGAAAGGTAGCCAGTCAGGACTCTTGCTAATTGCTATTTCCATGCAATTTAGTCACCAACTTAAAATAGAAACAATTTTCCCTTTAAAACAAAAGGCAGAAGAAACCTTAAATGAAAAGAATTTCTGGGTTATGGTGGAAGACAGATTTTGGAAATCCGTGGGGCAAGCTAGTGTTTATAGAACTATGCAGCTAAACATGTTTTACTCAAGGGGTGGCTTTGTTTTACTTTTTGCTTTAGGGAGAATCACTAAGGCCACACCTCCTGAACCACCACCTCCTGCGGAAGGGGGATTAGCCCTTCCCTCTTTACTGCAGAGTTGGGTTTTTCAGGAACTCCCTAGCTCGGGAATTTGCCACTTTTTAAAATGTTTTCCTAGTGTATGTGTACATCTTGTATGTCAAAAATGCTAAAGCACTTTAGCTTGTAGAAAGAGATAAAATGTTAAAAATAATTTTTTAAAAAAACTTCCAAAATGGGAAGAAAACAGTTAAGAGCAAATAGCAGAATTTCATAGAAAAGTAGAGCAGAGAATAGAATAGGACACATTGATGCTGTCATCTGTATGTAATGTTTAAAAAGCTTCAGCAATCATTTAAAAGGTTCATTCACTGTGACTAGCTCCTTAATGGGATCAAAGGAAATGGAAAGTCACATGGTTACAGAAAACCTTCATACAACAAACGCTGTCTAGTTATGGTTAATTTTAATTTGTGACAGTGACACAATGCATTGCAATCTTCTTTCTCACATATGCCAGTCTCTTTGACAATTTTGTCAACAGAAGCATGATTGAAGGATAAACCAGATTATTTTGAAAAATAGTTTTAAATAGGGAAATCTGCAAGGATCTTTGTAGAGCATTTGCTACAATGCATCTAATTATATATTTCCCTCAAAACTATTTGTGTTATATACATAAAGTAATAAACAGTAAGAATTGAAAGGGATTTTGAAAATCATCTAATTCATTATCTACCATCACAATACAAGCAAAAGTTTAAAGTCTGATGCATGTTTGCTGAGAAATAACATCAATGGGGGCTTATTCCTAAAAGGCAAATTCAGGATGGCATTGTTACATTGCTTGTATTGCCGCTTGGGCTACTTTCTTACTCTGTAAATTCCAATAAAATAGAATCAGTATGAACTGATACCATCTTAAAGAACTTTATTTTAGAAACAAAAAATGTGTATTGTACATGTATTCATTCCAAACTGCAGCCTGTATTATGGTACTGAAAAGCAAATCTCAAAATAGTGTAGATACGTAGCTGTTGAAATCCAGATGCATGGCACCTTAAAATACGTAGCTTTATTTACACTCCCATCCTGAATAGAAACTGTAGTACTCACACCAAATACAAGCCCAAAGGCCAAGAGGGCTGTTTTAAAATCCCTCCTCCCATCTGTTTTTCAATGGGCCAAATGTGTAAATGCTACTGGCTGCTGGTAACCTGTAGTACAATGGACTGGGGCCACCTCTTCATTCATACTACAAAAGCACTGAAACATCAACAATGTGCTGTTTGTTTGTATTTCCAGCCAGAGAGGCCTGTGTGTTGATTTTTTCTCCCTGTTGATCTGATCAACTAGCAGGCATCTTACCACACCCAGATCTCATGAAAATGCAAATGTCACTTCTGCAAATGTAATAAAAATAATAATTGCATCCAACCACTGCCAGGAGGAATATAGTTCAGTCTCAAAACTCTTTAATTTGAATCTGTTTTGGGGGGGGGGGGGGAGGCAACAATTGACATTCTATACTGCATGTAAGGAAATCTATCTTTTTAAGATGAAAAGATGTGTATTAAAACGCATGCTGTTCTAATCTGGACCTTCTCTAATCTCCCTCCCCAAATAAGATTTGGTTATTATCAATTGCAAAAATCACTGGATGATTTCTTACACAATCTAATCTTAAATATCACTAATCTTAAATATGTTCACTAAAATATAGATTTAGAACTGGACATAGATTTAGTGTCAAAAATCCAGTCTTCAGGTACATGTTTTTTATATGAAAAAGACCTTAACAAATTGCAATCCAATTTAGTGCCTGTTTCTTCGGAAGTAATCCCTAACTTATGTCATGGAGCTTACTCCAGAGAAGCATACATGACTTCAGACTTAAACAGCAAATGAAGATAAATCCTGCTCCATACTTTCTGAATAAACCCAGGGAAGATGTTATCTCCCTGTGCATCTCTTTTTTTAAAAGCCTCTATATAACAAATCCTTACAGCTGTAGAATTAAAAGGGGAAATGACAGGAAGAGAGAGAGAGAGAGAGAGAGAGAGAGAGAACAAGAAAATGCTTAGTCAGCAGCTGTCCTGTAATATTAAAAGGTGAAATGTAAGTAGGCACAGTGCCAATGTCTAGATAAGCTCAATAGTATCATTCTCTCTTGTGGTGTGTGTACAAATGGCACAGAATAAGTTAGAGACCTGTGGCAGAATTAAGGTCAGCACATTTTGTCCTTTCTGTTGTTTATGCACTGGACAAAAAAAAACCCCTTACTCAGGAACTATTAATATCAATTGAATTTATTACAATTTACTAAGCTCCAAGGCACATTACAGTGTTCTGTTAACTACAGAAATGTATAAAGGACAAACAGAGCATGTTTTCCATTTACAGCAATTTTGCTCTAGTGTTAAAAAGCTTCCGTGCATCAATAAAGCCAAAACAAAAACAATTAACAAAACAAAAATATGATTTAAATTTCTCCAATCAATAGAAAAAATGAAACTTTACAAAGCTGCAACAAAAAAGTCTCTCCTATGTTATCCTACCATGTTGCAAAAGAATAAAAAGAAATAAAAACAAGAAAGAAAAGAAAAAGTGAAATACTAACATTCTGGGGTTGTAAAACATAAGTTGTCACCATCTTTGTAGCATTTTTTAGGCATGACACTGGCCCTGGCAAACGAAAAGGGATATTTTCTTTTTCTTTTAGAGAAGTGCATACATTTACAAAAATACACACCAGCAGCAGGTAATTGCTAAAGGTTATTTAACCATGTACCTAGCCAACACACTGTCAAGGAAATGAGAAACAGGTATTATATGGTGACCAAACAATATTATATTCTGTTTTAACAAAACAAAACAAAAAAGAACAGCTCTATCCTTCAAATGAAGAAGGGTACATACCTTTGTTTCAAAATATAGAAACATACGACGAAAATAAGATCTATACATAAGACTAAACTTTTTGTAGTATTGTCCCATGTATTTTGAATATTCACAATTCTACATCTTTAGATGGCTAAACAGCATTGGATTTGCTGTTATGATTTCAAGGGTCTCTCTCCTTTTTCACTTTCACATCTCCAGCTAAAATGGTCGCAATTTCCCCCTGCATAAATGCCCAAGGTACGTTGGAACCTACTAAAGGGCATTTCTCTCCACTGGGGCAATAGACTTCACCAGTTGCCCCCTGAGCCTTGATACTCTCCCGAGAACAAGGGAAGCAGAACTTGTGACTGGGCACCGAAGGGCATTGCACAAAATGTGTGTCTTCCAAGCGTTCGTGGCAAATGGTGCAGCACAGGGGTCCACTAGTGGCCATGGGCGAGTCTGGAATGTTTTGGGGGTGCACTTGGTCCATGCCAGGGTGAGTGTTGGGAGGTGGAGGGGCTACTTGCAAGTTCAGATCCCCATTGCGGGAAGCCAGGCGACGTTGGCCTGGTACAGAGGCAGGGGACACTGGGCTGCTGCTGTTTCTTCGGGTTGAGGTGGTCGAGTGCACAGAACTGCCATCCTTGGGTGAATGGGCATTGCCCAGGGTATCAGCCACTGACATGAGTGCAGCCATGGGAGACTGTCCATTCTGTGGGGCTGATTCAGGTGGAGTGGTCCGGTTGGAATGAGGTCCCAAGGGTGGTGGAGGTGGTGGCACTCCACCAAAGCCACCTGCAGTCATGGTAAGCTTGAGTGCCTCACTCTGGCTAGCCATCCACTGCTGTCGCTGCTGCTCATCACTCAACTTGAGGCTACCCTCCGATGCAGAGTCCGATGGCTCTGGAGAGGCCTTCCTCTTGCGCAGGCCACCACTGCTGCCTGCACTGCTACTTCCCCCACCAGGGCCACGGCTAGAGGCTGGCCCACCTGATCCCGCACTAGAAGAGGAGGTAGGGACCCGGGGTAATGTGATAAGAGTAGTGGGCAGCATCGGGCAGGAAGCATCAAGGTAGGGCTGGGGTAGCATATCAGCACCCACCATCTCTTTGAAGAAGCGCACTGACTCTGGCAGGAGGTCACCCAGGAGACGCCAATCCCCTGAACCATGCTTCTTCTCATATTCGAGGTACTTGAAGCCTGAGGAGAGGCCACGGCCAAAGTCTTTCATGCAGTCTTGGTACATTTGCTTGGCCACACCTGAGGCACTGGAAAACACTGTGCCGGAGCCACTAGGATATTCGATGAACAGCTTTAGCTCATAGTCCAGTCCAGGCTTAGAGACAGCATCAAAGGCAAAGACGCGGCCCAGCAGCGCATGGTCCTTCTTGAATCGCACTTCATAGGGTGTGCAACCGGCCAAGGTCAGCAGTGTTTCACGTACCAGCTTTGGCTTGCTGGCCCACTCCTCAGCACGATTGCGGAGGCTCTCGCTCAGCTCTGCCAGTGCCTCAGCATTGCGCTGCTTCTCCTTTAGCTCCCGCTCTTGATCTCCGCTGCTTGACACAGAGCCTGGCCTCTTCCCACACGGGTCCCCTGAGGAAGAAGTCGAGGAGGACGAGGACGAAGAGGAAGAGGAGGATGAAGCCGGGGGACCTCGTGGAGGGGGCAGTGCCACCCCAGAAACGGCCGGCCCATTGAGCAGCGTCTGGGGCAAGAGGTTGGGTGGCACATTCATCTGGGCCCCGCTGCTGCCAGAAGGGAGACCACTCACCAGCCCGCCGTGAGCTCCTCGCCTGGAGGATGAGGAGGAAGAAGAGTTGGGGCTCTGGCGATTCAGCTCCGGCGGCCCGTCGTCCGGCGCCTTGGGGAAACCATTGGGTCCGCCAAGGCCGTTGGGGAGGCGGCCCGCATGGCTTCCACTCAGGCTGCCTGGAGGTGGCGGCGGCGGGTACTCGAAGCGGCCTCGTTGCTCGCTAAGGCCGTAGCGCTCTAGGCCCGAGGGTGCTTTCGAGGAGGAGGCGTCCACATGGTTAAGCCCCTGAACGGCAGCAGCCGCCGCCGCCGCTGCCGCCGCCGCCGCTTCCTTGGCAGACAGCGCGACGGCTTTGACGCCCACCGGAGGCGGCGGTCCTGGCGAGCGGCCGTCCTGGAAGCAGCCGTGAGCCCGCTTGAGCTGCCGAGCGGTCTCGATGACAAACTCGATGCGGTCGGCGCCCTCGTAGTTGACGCAGCCCCGGCAGACGGGCTCGCTGAAATCCCAAATCATGGCCCAGGGCATGCGAGGCAGGTCGCACAGGTAGCAGGACTGCCGCCGCGAGGACGACACCTGCGCCGCCGACATGGCTGCCCGGCGAAGGGGCTCTTCTCTGGCCTCGGTCGCTGCCGCCTCCTGCCACCCTGAGGCGAATCTTCCAGGCTTCCTTCTTCCTTGCTTGCCTTTCACCTGCCCAAGCGGGAAGCTCTTCCAAGGGTCCTCGAGCGAGGAGGGGGGCTGGGTCCCCCGGCCGCTTCTTCAGCCACTTCTTCCGACGGCGCCTGTAAGCAGCGGCTGTTCTTCCCCCTCCCTTCGCCTCTCCTTCTCCTTCTCCTCCTCCTCCTCCTCTCGCAGTGTAGGATGCGGGGGGGGGGGGGGGGGGGGGGGGGGGGAGGGCAGGGAGGAGGAGGAGGAGGAGGAAGGCGGGGGGCTGAGAGGAGTCTGCTACCTGCTGCTTGACCCCAAGCGGACCACTTTCCCAACGGCGTGGAGAGGTGGGTAGAAGGTGAGAGGGTGAGGGGACACCCCACACAACAGCGCGCGGGCGCTCAGACCGCTCCGGGAAGTGGGTGAGCCTCAGGTTGGCGGCGGTGGAGGCATCATGACAAGCAAGCAGGGCTGCCGGGTCGACTTACATCCTCGAGAGCCCCTCGGCATGCGACGTGGGGGAAGCCCGAGAGTCACTCTGGACGGCTGCTGCCGAGTCTTCCAAGCGCCGCTCTGCCCCTCCTCGCACGGCGCTCCATCCGCTTCTCGCGACTCGGTTCAGATGCCACCTGGGTGGAGCGCTCACGTCACGGCGGGGAGCTTGCCCGCGCGCTCCCTCCCTCCCCGTTTTCCTCCCCTGCTTTTGCTTGTTCCCCTTTCTCGCACTGACTGAGTGACCGACTCACCAGCTTCTTCCCCCCCCCCCCACTCCTTCCTCTGGGTGAAAGGAGGGGGAGCCCACTTGTTCCATGGCTACTGCGCAGGCTCGGCACTCTGCCCATTTCCTCCTTCCCCTTCCCCCCCCCATGTGTACAACAGCTGAAGCAAGGAGAGCTGCTTCTTGGAAACCAAGGAGATATTCTCTCTCACACACACATACACACACACACACACACACACTCTTCCCCCCCCCCACACATACACACACAAACACAACCCCCCTCCCCCTGACATGCAGACTGGAGGCTATGTTTGGAAAATTAAACGCTGTGTTTCTCCCTCCCCTTCTCCTTCATGGCAGTTTTCCCCAAAGCAAATAGGCAGCCAGAAAAGCACATGCGGAAGATGATTGCGCGTTCCTGGACGAGTTTTCTGCTTACAAACGTATCGGGTTTGTGTGTGTAAAGGGGCGGGAGAGAGATGATTTGGTATAAATTTTTTTCCCCCTTTCCGTTTTAGAGAACCGCAGCAGCGATCTTTTTAATCGCTAGCAATGACTGAGCTGTTAAATGTGGGTTTTGTTTTTTTGTTTTATAAATATCGCTTTGGTGGCCCAAATTACGGTATATTAATGATTGGGTGGGATTTGCGAGACTATTTGCAATACTTATAAACCTTTTAGGTCACAACCTCTTCACATGTTGCAAAGCTTGCATTCCCTTATGGTAAAAGGTTCGGGTCCTGCGTAGGTGTCTACTGAGCATAGCGGGAGTCAAATGAATTTCATTCAGGATCTAAGGCTGCAAAAAACTTGTCCCTGAGGGAATCTATCGGTAATCACCTCCCCCAACCTTCAGCTGCAAGTCAGTTTTGCTTTGAAGTAACTGCTCTGCGTTTTCTGTCCCCAAGAGAAATGCAGTTATGCCCCAGCACAGCTCGGAGAGGGTCCTTTGCAGCCGCCTGGAAGTTTAGCTCCCCTGGATAAAAGGAAAAGGGGCCGACTGCTTGGAATCCGGCTTCACAGTCCTCCTGTCCTTCCCTCCCCCGCTTGCATAGCCCGATTCTCTGCCTGGCTGGCAGCGCGCTCGGGTTGCAAAGCCTGCGAGGCGTCCCTGGGCAGGCCGATCCAGGTTGCGTCACCGGTTTGCTCCAACCCTTGCCGAGTAATGAACTGTCCGGGGTGAGTCAACATTCCCCAGAGTGAAGAAACGGTGCTACCCGCGGAGAAATTGTAGCATATTATGGATGGGTTGGGCTGCACAACCCGTGCCTTGCAATAATATTTGCTCAGCGCTTTCCTTCGATGCCAGGGGAGAGGAAAAACGAATCCAGAAAAGAGCACTGGTTTCATTGGCAGTGGAAAGGCAGGGTTGCACCTTGCTACCCTGTGAAAATCCAAAATCAACACCTCAGCCAGCACCAGCCTTGAGCAATACATTTCACGGGTATTGTCAGATGGCATCTTCCAGAATAGGAACGTTTAGACCTTCCTGATATATCTAGGAGTCTCGGTTTAATGCAGTAATGCAAAACCAAAAGTCGCCCTGGCCAAATGAGTATCCAAAGGCTAGCATAAACACAGCTGGAAGACAAGAGGCTAAGGATTATAGGAATTGCAGTTTGCAGGAGGTTGAATTAAACTTTTAGTTTTAAAAAAGGCCATTTTCACAGGAAAACCCCTCTTAATTCCATGGTACGTGCCCAAGATTGCAGTCTTAACCTGATTTGCTCCAGGCATCAGACATGAAGATTGTGCAAGCCATACCAACACCCCATATTCAAACAGGATTTATTAAATTAACTGAATTTCTGGCTTCCAAAGGCTCAGAAGCAGCCTGCATTGGTCACATAGCATGATGTGAATCCAACCACTGAGAATTCTGCAATCAAGTCAGAGTTTGGTTGCTACAGTAAAGGTTGTTTATGACCTAGTACAGTAGTCTTTGAGTTACAACCCCAATTGAGCCCAAAATTTATGTTGCTAAGTGAAACATTGAGTTTGCCCCCATTTTATAACTTTTTTGCCACAGTTAAGTGAATCATTGCATTTGTTAAGTTAATAACATGGTTAAGTGAATCCGGAGTCCCCCACTGACTTTGCTTGTCAGAAGGTCACAAAAAGGATCATATGACCCCAGGACACTGCAACCGTCACAAATATGACTCAGTTGGCAAGTGTCTGAATTTTGATCACATGACCACAGGAATGCTGCAATGGTCATAGGTGTGAAAAACGAGCATAAGTCACTTTTTTCAGTTCCATTGTAACTTAAAGCAGTCACTAAATGAGCTGTTGTAAGACGAGGACTACCTGTATTTCCTGTCAACCAGTTGCGGCTAAATCCCCAAATCCCGGTTTAAAAAACATGCTTTGGAACATTATGTGAACGTAGCGTAAGACTTAAATAAGAGGGAGGAGTTGAAATAGGAGATCGCCTAACTAGTCCAGTAGATAAATTGGATAAGCTGATAAATTGATAAGCTGACCAGTTCTGAAAAGCTGGACTTCCTAGGACCATTGCATTGAGGAAGAAGGTCAGAAAGAATCTTGCCTTGATCCTCAGAGCGTGACCTTGGCTAACCGTCCTGAGAAGGCCTCAGAGCCTTTCAAGTGACTGCTGAATAGCTTAAAGTGGAAGCGCAAAAGGAGGCTGCCAGTATCCTGGTAGAACACTTTGGAAGGACTACTTCCATAGCAACAGGCATTCTGGTTCTCAAACTGGATTGGGTTCTCCCTTCCCCCCCCCCCACCAGTCAAACTTCAGGTGCTTGGCAACTGACTCATATTTAAAACATTTGCAATGTCCCAGGGACATGATGTGATCACCTTTTATAACCTTCTGACAAAGTCAGTGTGGAAGCCAGATTCACTTAACAACCATTAACATAACTGCAACGATTCATTTAACAACTGTGGCAAGAAAGGTCATAAAATGGAGCAAAAATCACTTAACAACTGTTTCACTTAGCAACAGGTTTTTGGGGGCTGAATTGTGGTCCTAAGTCAAGGACTAATAATTCAGTCAGTTACACAAACATTGCCCAGTCTTTTAAGTTAATTAGTGCCTTTCTTTACACATTTTATAATTCACCTCCTGTATGAAATTATTCTATTTGCTCTTTTGATTCAGCAGCTAGAAAGAGCTAGTTCCAGACCCTAGATCTGACTTCCCTATTATGTGTACTTGAAGATATCTGATGCTCTTGCTAAAAGACCTTTGAACTTGGGGACAATACCATCATGCTTTGAAGGCTTTCCTGTCAGCAGGAGGAGGTTTCTCTCACAGTCTTGGGTCAAGGGCTTGCTGAGAAAGCTCCCCAGAAGGATCATTGATACCTATGGGGATTAAAGGATAGGTCAATCCAGGAAATATGTGCCTTGAAAGATAACTTCTGCCCTTACCCTTCTATGATTAATCAATCAATATCACAATCAAAATAAATGAACAGGAAGTAAATTGAAATTAAATGTCAATCAGCCATCCCAAACAAAACAAACTTTCTTCCCTCAATAAGCATGAGCGGCAAAGACGAGAATGCCCATCTGCTAAAGGACAAAGATGCCTGGCCAGGTTTCTTCAAGCACCTTCCCTCAAGTGAGGGGACAGAGTCAGCTTTGTCAGCAGCAAACGGATTCATCAAAAACAATGGAGATTTGATAGGAGAATCCAGAGATCCTATTTTAAAAGATGTTAAAAAGAACTGAACGATTTATCTATTCAACTCTGTCAATTTGCTTACAACAAATAAACAATATGGGGTGCCAGCAGAGAAGCAGGAGGTGAGAGAAAGAAAGAGGCCTCTTGGCCAGCTGGCTACAGTGAGAAGGAGCAAAAAAAGAAAAAAAAAGGGGCAAAGCAGCAACTCCTCAGTACAGTCTTTCTGGACAGTTTCCCAGTCTATCTCCAGATGTTTCAGATTAAAAAAAAAAACCCATCATTGGGGTCTTGGAGTTTTTGTTCTAAACATCCTCGTCCCACTTTAGGCATGAAAACCAACTGGGTGACTTTGGGCCGTTAGTTCTCTTTCCGCCCAACTCACCTCACAGGGTTGTAATTGTGGGGGAAATAGGAGGACAAAATAACAGGTATGTTTGCCAGCTTGAGTGATTTATAAAAATAAATAATATGCCAGGGTGAGGGGAAGCTACTTTTGTGGCCATCCAAAGCAGCATTTCCACCAGATCGTTAGTGTGGTAGAAGGAGAGGGTGGGGCAATAAGTAGATCTAGAGGTCTCTTCTCAAACATCTATGTTGATGATTTAAGAGGAGGAAGAGCCTGAGCTGAGAGTTTAAAAAAAAGATATTATTGGCCTCAGTCTAAACCAGGCTTGTCCAACCCGCGGCCCAGTGCCCACCCCAACCTTTGTGCAAGAGGA